GGTGGGTTGAAAAAATTAATTCATACTAAAAGTCCTGCCTAAACAATGTAATTTTCTGAAGATGTCTGAAAGAAGGCAGGGATGGTTCCTGCCAAAATCAATCACGTTTGTAGCACTGTAAAGACTTTTAAATTTGGAACATTTCTTGACTTCATAAAAGTTGTGAAGGGGTGTGTGTATACAGAAGTTTTTGTGGACTAGAGACCATTCCATCAGATGAATGTATTAAATTTCTGTATTTGGGTTTTATATCTTTATTTTTCTGTGTTGTATTACTTTGAGGATTATTTTTATGCAGTATGTTTCTAAAAACCAGTTGCTGGGAATTGCATGTGCAGAAAGTGCTTATGTGCTCATGTGCTGTTTGTGGGCTTCCCCTAAAGGCATCTGGTTGGTCATTGAGCTTTGCAAATCTTTCTTTTGCTTTTCCCTACAGGCAAATGCCTAGCAGTAGATGGATGTTAATTTGAGAGCCACTTTTCTCCTGCTGAAATACTTGAACAACATCAGTAGCGCAAGTTGCCATTTCACAACCACTTTCAAGTTACTATAAATCCCATTCCAAACCAAGTTCCTGTGTTTTGTCTCAACATTTTAAACTTGTCAGTTTATTTTTAACTCTTGAGATATGTGAACATGGCTATGCTGATACTTTGTGTTTGGGGCACAAATAGTTTATTTTGGGGGTGGTTGCCTCATTGGGTTTACTGTACTTCGAAAAAGCGGAAGAATTAACAGACCTTTATTTCCTTTAGTGCCAAACTGAGGGAAACTGTGGCTTTGTGGTCTTGTTGCATTCAGGGCTTGAGCTACCAGGTGGAAACACCATGAAACTCAGAAACACTTGCCTCTGAATTACAAGTGCACAGATTTAGTTGGTGTTTGAAAACAAGGAGCCTAATATGACACAAGTCAGCACCTTATTAGAAGATGGCAGTGAATGCACTGGACCGTTGCCTTGCCTCAGTAAAGGACTGGATGAGAACCAATAAACTGAAGCGCAATTCCACATAAGACTGAGGCACTTTTAGTGGATAGTCCCCTAGATTGGATGGCTGGGAGGTTGCCTGCTCTTGATGGGGTTACACTTCCTCTGAAGGAGCAGGTATGTAGCTTGAGGGTACTTACAGATCTTTTGCTGTCAGGTGAAGCTCAGGTGGCCTCAGTGGCATGGAGTGCTTTCCATCAGTTTCAGCTGGACAGGGATAGCTTAACTACTGTTGTATATGCTCTGGTAACCTTTAGGTTAGATTACTGCAATGTGTTATATGTAGGGCTGCCTCTGAAGATGGTTCAGAAACTTCAACTGCTGTAGAACTTGGCAGTGAGGTTGCTCACTAGGGCAAGTGGTTTGAGCATATTACACTGACCCTAGTTCGGCTGCACTGGCTGCCAATTAGCTTCCTGGCCTAATGCAATGTGCTGGTTTTGCCCTATAAAGCCTTAAATGTCTCAGGACCATAATACCTCAAGGACCGCCTCTTCCCATATGAACTTACCTAGATGCTGACATCTCCTGAGGCCCTTCTTTGTGTGCCTTCTCGATGAGAGGTCCAGATGGACATGAACAGGCGTTTTCTGCAGTGTCTCCCCGTTTGTGGAATGCTCTCCCCCCTGGGAGGTTTGGCTGGCGCCTTCATTATATACCTTTAGGCACCGGGTGAAAATGTTCCTGTTTGACCAGGCCTTTGTACCAGTTTCTAAAATGGGGGAGGGAGGTTTATTGGTTTGTGGGTTTCCCCCCGTTTTTATTATGTATTTTGTGTTTTTATCTTGCATTTACGTTGTGAACCGCCCTGAGATCTATGGATGAAGTATGGTTATACAAATTTAATTTTAATTTAAAAATAAAAGAATGTGTTCCAGTCAGCTGAATACTCCAACAAAGTTTCTGGTGTCAGAGGTATCTGGTCCAGGATTATCAGAATATCTAGAGCAGTTCCCCTAAGAGGAAAGGCCGCAATGCATTTGGGTTTTTTAGTTTAGGGGAAAAACGGAAAGCAAGTGGAGTGCGTGTTGTTTTCTCTTGTAGAATCCAATGGTGTCAATTCAATGAAGCCAAATGTGATAAGATTCAAGACTGACAAAAATAACTTATTCACACACCACACAGTTCAGCTATGGAATCTGATTTCACAAGATAGTGTGACCCCCGACTTGGACGGCTTTAAAAGGGATTAAACAAATTCATAGAAAAGGCTATCAAAGGCTGCTATGTTATTATGCATTCAACCTCCACTGTTGGGAAGGCAGCATGCCATATGCTGGGAATCCCAAGCAGGGAGAGCACTGTTGCATTCAGGTCTTGCTTGCAGGCTTCCCACTAAGGCATGTGGTTGGCCACTGTGAGTACAGATGCTGGGTTAGATAGGGCTTTTGGTCTTAGCCAGCAGGGCTTTTCTGATGTTCTTAACACTTGCATTGCCCTGGAAGGAAGTATTGAAATAGGAGATTCTGTAGAGTTAAAGGAGGCGGGAAGGAAGGAGGATGCCCACCCCCTTTTCAGAACTTGCCACCTTATCTGTGTCTGTGACCTTGACCATTAGGTCATTTCCTTTTAAGTTACTCTGGAATCCAACTCACTAACATGTATTTTTCAAGTCTGTGTATTCCCACAAAGACACAAGCCAATGAATTAAAACTAAAAGCGTAAACACCTTTATTATATACAACATAAAGGTTACAGTCGCCCTTAAGTCACATTTCCATTGTAATGTACAATACTATACAGTTAGCATGTAACTCAAGGGCTGGAGGGTGTCCATGTATTCTCTAGAGAGAGCACATTCCTTTGCTTGTGAAGACCATAAACTGCCCACACCACTACTTTTTATCTGAATTTGGTAACCTGGAGACTCCCAACATTTGAAATTAAAAACTCGGGAAAAAAGAATCTGTTCTTGTATAAATACCATTTACAAAGAATACAAAAATAACGTCAGTTGTACATTTTGGATTGATTGTGGCAGTGTTACTGGCTGTGCCTCAATACCCAAGGTTAGATTCTTTCAAACAGTGTGCACACAAACACAAGCACAAACAGACCTTACGCAGGATAAACACAAACATTTATTTGTAGTGGTTTCTGTGCAGATTTCTTGAAGAGATCTTTCAAGAAGTCTCATCTTTGGCACTTGGGGCCTTAAAGTTGCATTTGCCCAAACCGTAAACTCCTGACTGATGTCTATAGCAGAAGGGGAAACCCCAAAACAGGAAAACCCCAGCTGCAGAACAAAGGAAACCAGATGATGTGGGGGGGGTTGCTGATGGGGGAATAAAATTGCAATCAAAAAAATAATACTTTTGCAAGAATCAGGAACCACCATCTTTTTACACAAACACAATCTAGTCACTGGGATGGCAAAGTGCAACTCCACAGAGAATTTGATCGTGTGCTCCATGCCCCAATGCTGAAGGGTCAGGAGCAAATGAGGTCCAGGCAATGAATGCAAAGGTTGTACAGACCAAACACCTGTCATTTTATCGCCACTGCTCAGTGTCCAGATCACAGAAGTGGTTGGCATGGCCCCCACCCCAGCTATGGGAACTATGCCTGGTATGGGGAAAAAACAGAGTGCTATACAACTTTGAGGGAAAGTGCTATTAAAAAGGAAGTGTTCAGAGTAGGAACTGCAGGACTACCTGGGCTTTTAATAATTTTGTTTTTAAAAGCCCATCTTGGTGTGCTTTTTGTAAGGTCACCTTTCACTGTGATACCAAAGCACCATTTTAAAAAGTTCTGGTAAGGCCAGCCAGAGTATCTTCTGTTTATGACTGTGTGTGTTTGGAAACCCGACACACAGAGCAGCATCTGGTGCTGTCCTGCATCCCACAACAGTCATGGTGCAGCTTTTGGTGCAAAACACAAGTGTTGGCAACCACCAGAATCACACTGAATGAAAACTGGGATACCCAAGTGCATTCCAAAGGTCAGAGTACAAGAGATTAAGAAGCCATTTCTGCTCAGAGCGTGCCACTAACCCCAAGTACAGCTTTGGTTTGCCTAATGCATATGTGAATGTGCAGGAAATTGTCTTGTGATAATGCCATGAATGGAAGTGAAGTCAGCATTTGTGAGGTGGTGAGACACACTCTCCAATGGAGGTAACTTGTCTGGGACAAATAAAAAGCTGGTTTTCATTGCATTCAATGGTTTCTATGTAAGCTGGAAACAATTCCTCTTAAAATTGAGCAGCTAAACTATTAAATAAGGAGAGAGGCCTAATATGCTTGTTTGAGTGAATTTCATACATACAGAAATGAATGCTTCGGTGTCTGTTCTACCACAACCCAACTGCTATTCTCACACCTATGCAAGAACTACGGTTGTCATCTCCCCACATTGTTGCATTGCCCATAGGCTGGCACCAAAGGTGAGCCCCGTGAAATCTGCTTCCCCACTCCAGCCAACTGGAACAATTGTCAGACAGCCCTTGCTAATGTCGGGATACATACTTTTAATTTTTCACAAGCACAGGCAATAATTGTGCTCCGACTGATTTGCTGCCCATAATGACACAAGAGAGGAACCTTGAAAGTGACCCAAACCCTGCTTGCAACTAAATTCCAGCACATAAAAGGTAAAGGGACCCCTGACCATTAGGTCCAGTTGTGACCGACTCTGGGGTTGTGCGCTCATCTCGCTCTATAGGCCGAGGGAGCCGGTGTTTGTCTGCAGACAGCTTCCGGGTCATGTGGCCAGCATGACTAAGCCGCTTCTGGCAAACCAGAGCAGTGCACGGAAACACCGTTTACCTTCCCGCCGGAGTGGTACCTATTTATCTACTTGCACTTTGACGTGCTTTTGAGCTGCTAGGTTGGCAGGAGCAGGGACCGAGCAATGGGAGCTCACCCCGTCGCGGGGATTCGAACCACCAACCTTCTGATCGGCAATTCCTAGGCTCTGTGGTTTAACCCACAGTGCCACTGTGTCCAGCACATATGCACACTCTAAACCAGTGGTTCCCAGTTAGCTAAGTACTGTGGACTCCCTGTTTTTCAAAAGCCAAGCCATGGCCCCTCTAATTGTGAACTTTTTGTTAGCTCTACGGCAGCTTACGTTATGTGAATGGTGCCACGGACTCCCTGGGTGGGTTACCACCAATTGGGAACCACGGCTCTAAACAAATACGCTCTTTTCTACTGTTCTGTGGGACCATTAGTGGACAATAGAACAGATGTCTGCTTAATTATAAAGCTCCGTTAAGCTGTGACTAGCCTTGAGACATCATCAGAATAAAAGTGCACAGGCCTAAGAGGATTTAGGGAGGGACTGAAGTCCTCATCTGTAGCCCCTTCCAATGTCTCCAAGGCCCACCTCCCGCAACACTAGACCACACTTCCCTTTCCTTTCTTCCACAGCACATCCTTCAGAATTCCGCCAAAACACCAAGTCTGCAACTCTACATATTTGGTTGGGACTTTTGCAGGCAGAAGCCACCTTGCTGGGAATAAGCACTCTTTATACAAGAGCCACCACACACACACAACCTTTTATCAGATACTCCTCCCAGTCAGTCCCTCCCAAACCTGAGGATGCTACTTCCTCAGAGGAACTGCAACTCACAGAAGCACCTGGCCCCCCTTCTTGCAAAATTTGGTCCGTGGCCAGCTGCTAAGCCAAGTATGACTTGCGTCTTTTAGGCATTGCCCTATGGCTAAATGAGCTTTTTTGGAGCATAAGAACACACACACACACTCTCTCCCTATCTCTCTTTTACTTGTGTCCTAAAGCCTCAGGCTCAAGCATTCTCAGGGGCGTGTATTATGAACAGGGAAAAAGGTTTTCCCCTCTGTCTTCCCTGTCCCGCTCCACCACCTAGGGGACTGGTTCCCAAATAGCTAAGTACTGCAGACTCCTTGTTTTTCAAAAACCAAACCATGGACCCCATACTTTTGGAAATTTTGATATCTCTATGGCAGCTTTCGTTATGAGAATTGGGAACCGCTGGTCTAGGGCTTTGGTAAAAGGCTTCTATGCTATCAAACAGGGCAAATGGACCCCATTCTGATCTCCTAGGCAATCACTGCAATGCTTGAGGCTAAGCCCCACTCTGTTAAGGATGCATGCGGCTCTACTGTGCCCTCTTCCCCACCAACCTCTATCCTTGACCCCAATGCTTCTCCCCACCCCTGCAATGGGCTTGTGGTATGAGGGGCGCCCAGCTGGGTTTGCTGGGAATAGCTGCATGTTCCGCAGTTCCATCGATTGAAAAATAAAGTCCCTGGCCTTTATGGCAGCAAAGATCAGGGTGTGTGTGACCATCACATGGTAGAGTTTTGCAAAAACCACAAATGGGGCCGAATAGTGCTTCCTTTCATAAGGCTATTACGTTCTGTTTCACACTGTCATGAATTCCTTCTTCCCCGAGAAGGAGTAGTAAGGTGGAGAGGAATGAGGAGAAAGGGACACTCGTTTCGTAAGGGGGAAAGGGGGGAGCATCACCCTCACCACAGACTTCTTTGCTCAGCTTTGGCTTATAAACTGCTGCTGCTCCTTCTCCTGTTGAGGTTAGCTCTTTCCCATTACCACTGTCTTGATCTGCACCACAGCCCTGGTGGGGCGAGGGGATTCCATATTTCACAGCACCCAAACCCCACCCGCCCAGAGGAACACAGTGCTCTCAGCCCAGCTCAAAAATGTCGCTGTTTGGCCTGAGCAGGGAACCTAGAACTAAGTAAAGCCAGCCTCCTTTACTGGTCCAGGCCTTCAGAGTCTTGTGGCTCTGAAGTGCATATGCTTCAGTTCTTCAATCTGAGCTGAGCCCCGCAGCATCCCAACTGCCAGAACGAAAGGACCAGGGGAGCTCCCATTTCCAGCCCGTCTCTTGAGACCCCTGCAGAAGATACAAGCTCCCCCCAAACTACAAGGCGGGGTTGCCCAACAAGACAGCATTTCCAGCCCAACCAGGCAAACGACTCAGCTTGCCACTGCTGCCATGACTGCTCTCCTCTTTCCTTCCTCCACCAAAAGGCACAAGTGGTATAAGGGATGTGGGAGAAATGGCTTTGTAATGCCCCAGGTCAGGAGCTGCTCTATTGGCCTGGCAGGACCACCCTCTCATCTCACCTGCCTTTCGTACGAGGCATGATCCTGAATGGCAAGGTGCCAAGACGACAGTGGGGTTTTCAGAGCAATGCTGAACTCGAGGCAGGCAAGGGGGATTGACATGCAGCCTCCCTGGCCGCCTCCCCCCCCCCATCTCACTCCTTTGGCCGCCTTTCCATCCTTCAGCTGCTTCTCTCCTAGGAAGGCAGTTCATGCAAGAGCCGCAGCATCCAGCCAAAGCTCATCCAATGGCCTTGTGTCTATAATGCAGCTGCCAATCACAAGTCTTGGTCAAGGCACTGATGCTGGAGAACATCGCAGAGGCAGGACTCGGTGCTGCTACTGCTGTGGTTCACTGACACTGCCATGTCACCAAGGCCCCTTGGCTCCTCCTACACGAGCAGCCCCAGGCGAGTCACTTTGGCTGACAAGAACGTGTGTAACACAAACACAATGGGTTTGGGGCAGGAGTGCAGCTCCAGAGTCTGGGGGAGAAGAAGCACACAATGAGGTCACTACTTTGCACATGAGATAAGGTGAACACATTTTTTTAATTGCAAGTTTTTATTATTTTTTCTATTAATATTAATTAGTATTAATATTAATAGAAAACTTAATAGAAAATAGTAATTAGTATTAATTACTAATTAATATTAATGAAATATTACTCTTTCATCCATTAATCATTTCCCATGAAGCCACCCCCAGCAATTTATTATATGATTAAAAATTACTTAAAATTGCTGCATATACAAGAGCATATAAAACAGGTTTTAATTTTTTTTTCCTATTTTGTACTTAATAAAAATTAATTTTATTTTTTTAAAGGAACCTTGAAGTACATAGATCCAGCCCATTTAAATCCTCTGCCCTTACACCAGCTGTGGCCCAGGCCCTCTACTCACCAGTTCCCCTTCCGGTCCCCCAAAATCCAAGTAGAGGTTCCTGATGCCATCATCCGCAGACATTCTTAGCCTCTCGAAAGGGTATCGGAAAAGGACACTGGCAGAGCCTGCCTCTTCCTTGGAAATAATGAAGCCGTTTTCATAGTGGATGATGAGGCGGACCTCCTGGGCATTCAGGACACACCCTAGAACATGAAAACGCAAATTGTCATTGGACACAGGCTGGCACACATCCTTCCAGGTCAAGTTGCCTCCCCAATACACACACAGAGCGGAGCAGAGTTTCCCCCTTATGTCCTTCCATCAGAGCCAGCAATGATGTTCAGCTAGACGGTGGCAGAAGACAGCTTGCTTGTCTTGGTCTGGGTCACCCAGGTTCTGATTTTATCCCATTCTATATGCTTTTAGGTTTGGTAAGTCACTTGGAGACTTCTTAATATGTCAAGGGACCAATAAACCAAATTGAATAAATAATAAAATTCTTTTGCCATCAAGCTCACCAATTCCCATTCATGATAGATCCCTTGAATTTTTGTTTCTTGCTCTTACAAGGTTGTTCTATTGGTTTTAGGGTGCATTTTTGTTTTAGTGATGCTGTTTGTTTGTTTTAAATACTAAGCTGTTGATAAATGCTAATAAACAAATAAATTACATGCATACTAAACCACCCCAAATATAGTGTGGACCTTCTTACTAACCCAGAGGTGGGGATCTGAGGCCCCTTCAATTGTTGCTGGACTACAGCAACTCTCTTCATCCTTGACCAGGCTGGCTGCTGGGAAGCAGAAGACCAATATCTGGAAGGCCACAGGTGTTCCCCTGTCTGTTACATACTTTGCAAAAATGAAGGCCAGAAATGATGCATGTCAAAACTGCTAAGTGGCATTTCACAAGTGATGAGGGTCACAGACCACTTGCTGCAAGCCAAGTGCTCCTAAAAGCAGTTACCTCTGAAGTTCCACTCGCCTCACTGACACAAAATCAGATAATGTCAGCCAGCTATCACCAGCTGGGTGCCCTCCAAAAGTTTTGGACTGTGATTCACATCAACCTGGCTCATGGAAGGCTCCTCATGCCACAGCCAGGAGAGTGTTAGCAATGAAGCATTCCTGTGCAGAACGGGTGCTGTTCTCTTACAAACTCTAGAGGGAGCTTGAGACCTGGGAATCAGCTCTGAGAGCCTTCTAAACAAAACTGGAGAAGCCAAGAGCCCAAAGAGTTCCCTGGGATCTTCCTCCTTCCACAGCTTGCAGCGCCAAAGCCTGGCTTTTCAAAGTGTTCTGAGACAATGCTTTTGCAGGCCTGAGCTATATGACTCCTCTTTCCTCTGTTCTGAAAGCATCAGGAACAAAAGCTCCTCTCTCCCAGGTGCTCGGCTCCCTCCCAGCAGATAGAGTTACAGGCGTCTTCATCTTGCATAAGTGGGGTTGAGCCAAGGTGTTTTCAAAGGCTCAGACTAGCTTACCTGACAGCAGAGGATTACATACACACCTTGCACCCCCCCTCAAATATTCTGAGATCATCCAGACTTCTACCAAGCAACCAGTCCAACCATCAGCCTTCATCAATGCAAACAGCTGTACTCTCCTCTCACTAACCACAATGGCTCTGTTCTCCCACCAGCTGCAGGACGCCTCTGCGTACCATTTGCTGGAATCATGAGTTGGGAGAGAACTGCTGTTGCACTCAGGTCCAGCTTCCTTTTAGGGATCCTGGCTGGCTACTGTGAGAACAGAACTCTAGATTAAATGTGCCTCTGGGTAGCTCTTACTGGCACCAACACCCAAATGATCACCTTTCAGCCTGGCTTGAGCATTTAAGTTTTGCCTAGGAAAATGCACCCTTCAAGAGCAAAAGAATAATTCTCTTCTCCTGTTGAGCTTGGAAGACAAACATTGCAAGGCCTGGGTTCCTCAGCTGCTCAAGGCAGCGAATGGGCCAAGCCTCCACCCTGCCCAGCAGCTCAGGCAAGAATCCCAAACCAGGCTTCAGAGAGGCAGGGCTGCTGGCCACTTACCTAAAGACACCTCCTTGACCAGCTCTGCAGCAGCGTGGCAGCCTTGCACCAGGATTCTGGTCCAGGAGGAGAGGTCCCGATGAGTCTCCACGCGAAAGATGTGCATGGCAATGCCCTGACGGCAGCCTGTCCGCGTGGCAAAGCTGAGGTCCGATCCCATGCAGGGTGATCTGCGGCCTGAGCCAGAATGCACTAGCCTGCAGGAGGAGGAGGAGGGTTTTTTGGTCAACAAGAGCAAGCAGCAACCATACCTGTGAACCCCCCCCCAATAAAAACCTGGAAAGTCATCCAGAAATCCACCTGACAGACTCAACAAGTGGCTGCAAACCTGGCACAGGAGAGAAACCCCTACAGTTCCTGGATGTGGGGGGTGGGAAAGGGCCGGTTCCGAAGCTGCAGGGTCTGAGGCCTGAGAATCTCTCTCCAACCAGTTTTGGCTGGAGGGATGGTTTGGGAGGGACCCTAATTGAATCCAGCTGCTGCACGCTGCCAGAAACCTCTGCCAGCAGCCACACCTCTTGGGGGCTTGTAGGGGAGGCTTCCAACGGGTGGCGGGAATACAACTAGCTTGGCGGCGGCAGCTGCCAGGGCAGGCAATGTGGCAGGAGCCTGCCCAGACAGGGAGAGCCTCTTGCAAGTTGTCAGCCCACCCACCCCTAACTCTCCAGCAAGATCACAGAACTGCCAAGTTTTTGTCTCAGCCAGCCCACCCCCGATGGCAAAAGGCCAAGCATGGTAGGGGCAAGCCAACTCTCTCCTCAGATCTCTCCCACCCCCCACCATCACCCTTGGTACGCACACACAGCTTGGGCTCACACTCAGGGTAGTATCAACATGATCCATTAATTTCAATGGGTCACACTTTGTTGACTGCCACCCTTGGACTTTATATGCCAGTCAGTTTGTTGATTTGTTTGCAAGGCTGTCCTAATCTGCTCTTCCCCTGGCATCCGGTCTCAAGGACATCTCTGTTCACAGATTGGCCGTCTCCACAATCTCCCTCTTACAGAATCACCTGTTTGCTCCCTTACCTGGTGGCAACAAGCGGGTAGCTGTGGCACGGGGAGGCCCAGGCATCTCTTGTCCATGGCATGCAGTCATATAGCAGCAAGTCCTTCTCCGTCACGGCCAAGAGAGCTGGCCGCCACTGCTGCCGGCCTCCATCCAGCCGGGCCTATGGGAAGACAAGAGGAAAAGGGGGCGGGTTGTTGGCAGTCCATCTCCATGAGCAAAGCAAGCAAGGATTTGGGGGAAGAACGTAAGGGGTGGAGAACACACCCTTCTGAAGGGACCTGCCAGGAAGAACAGAGTGCAGGAGGGAGGTGACTGGCCTTGCAAGCCTATGAGGAGCTGCAGAGACAGGAATATTTTGTTTCCACCCCAAGGCCGGATCTGGATCCTGAAAGTCACTCTCCCACACGGCTCTCAGGCTTTGAGCACACACGAGCCTTTTAATCAAAGCTCTACTCCCATCTTTTTCCTTTTACTCCATAATAAGGAAATGAATTGCAATCCTGTGTCATATGTATCTTGTAACACAGGGAGCTGCCTTCTGCAGAGTCAGACCCTTGGGTCCATCTAGCTCAGTACTGCCTGCACTGACTGGCAGCAGTGGCTCCTCTGAGTTTCAGGCAGGGAGTCTTTCTCGGTCCTATCTGGAAATGCCATCGGGGATTGAACCTGGGACATTCGGCATGCAACGCTGATGGGGTGGGGCTCCTTTTACTCACATTTCCTCCCTGCCTCAATCTTTAAGGCACTTCAAAGCTGGCAAACAGAAGGCACACGAAGTGGAGGGTACCCTTGGTGTTTACATGTGTTCCATACCACCACCACCCCAAGCTATTCTTGTGCCATGGGACAGAAGACCAGAAACGGGAGCTGCAGTGCTAGGAACTGCCAGTTGCTGCTAGCAGAATGCAAGGCAGCCACAGAGCCAGGATTTCATCCTGCAGCACCCAAGTACCAGCCTACCCCCCCCCTCCAGTCTAGGCTCCTATTTCTCTCCCACTGCCTGCCAGGCTCTCCTGCACCTTCCACGGCACAGGTCAGACGTATCCCAGGAAACAAGCAACAGGTCTCACTTCATTGCAAAGCAAGGCTGGGCCCTGCCTGTTGCCTTTGGCATGGAGCCATGCCTGGTTGGACAGGAAGCTGGGGCTGTTGCTGCCTCTACATAGGTGCAGGAATCCAGCCCTATAGAAAGGCTAGATCCCAAGATGCTGACAGCAGATTCCTTCTGCAGGGTTCAAGGCAGCAGTGGAAATAATGGGAAGGATGAAAGCTACCACAAACACCCTCCACCCTGCGACATGCACAACAATAACTTGAAGGACACGATTCTGCACGTGCAAAACACATTTAAAGCTCCATCTGCACTAAAAGAAGAGTGTGTTGTTGTGGCATCAGTTTATCCAAGCAACTGCTTACATTGTTGACTGAAGGTGGTGGATGCGAGCACAAAAACTGAGGGCTGGGGCAGCTCAAAACCAAGAGGAAGACCCAAAGGGGAAGCCATGCTAACTTGTTGCAGCAAAACACCTAGGGTCTAGTGACACCTTAAAACAGCTTTCCCCAGCCTGGTGCCTTCCAGATAGTTGAGGTGACAACTCCCATCAGCCCCAGGCCAGCAGGGCCATATGACCATGGGGCTGATGGGAGGTAGAGCCCAAAACTGACATGCAGGCTGAGGCTCATGAGAACCACCAAGTCAGCAAAGGCTGTCCCAGAGAGTCTGAGGGGCCAGGGCAGTGCTGGGTCCACCTACTCTGCAAAGGGCAGAGACAGACGGGTCGCCCCCACCCGCTCTCCTCCCCCAGGGGTTAACAAGCCTAAGCAGGGAAACAAGGCAGCCGAAACAGACTAGAGCAAGGTGTGCAAATGTAACAATACTGAGACAAAGTGCCCAGAGTACAGCAGCTCCCAGACTCCTTTCAGCCTTGAAATGATACATCCCACAGCCTGAATACAAAACAGGGATTTTCCCACCAATGGCAGAGCCTCTTCCGAGCATCCCACCCTCCACCCGATGCATTTGTCAAGTTCACTGCAGGAGGAAGCTCAGCCAAGGACTTCTGTGTTGGGCTGGGCAGAGAGGAGAAGACTGTTCTCCCCTCACAAGCACCATGGGCAGGAGGAGGTACCAGATATTACATGTCCAGTCACCAACTGACATCTCTCCTAAAAGGTGGGAGGGAAGCAAGATAGGTCAGCCACCATGAGACCATGATGCTGAACTAGATGGGTCACTGGCCTGATCCAGCATGCTCTTCTTATGTTCAGGCCATCAATGACGCCCCACTGCAATCCCAAAGAGCTTTTGAACCTCCACTGCACAAAGCCGCACAGAGCTTCCAGTCTCCTGGCCCACCTGTTCCGCCAACCACGCGATGTGCTTGACCTCCTTGCTGCTCCCCGGCGTGTTGCTGGCGGCCAGCATGGCGTTGAGCTCGGCCAGGACTTGCGGGAGGAGAGCCATGATGTTGGTGTGGATGGCCATGAACCAGGAGTGCGCCGTGGCGGTGTCCTTGCAGCGGAGGATCAGGGTGTTCCGGCTGTCAGGCGAGTGCAACTCTATCAACCTGCGCAGGGAGGGAAGGAAGGAAGGAAGGGCAGGATGAACTTAGTGGGGAGGCTGCCAGAAGAAATGGTCTGGACTGCCAAGCGCCAGCAGGAATCCGACTTCTACCAAATGCCACCACTGGTCCATCTATCTCAGTACCGCTTATGCTGGTGGTAGCAATGGTCTTCCAGGGTTTCGGGACAGGGAGTCCTTCCTTCTCAGGCCTGCCTGGAGATGCCAGGGATTGAATCTGCGACCTTCTGTATGCACATCATAAGCTCTGCCACTGATCTCCAGCTCCTTCCCCAAAGAGGACCCATCCTCACAGGAGAGCTGAGCAATTGGAGTCAGCACAGAATCAATGGTTAAGTAGTCAAGGGGCCAAAACGCAGCCCTCTAGGCCTCTGCACCTGGCTCTCAAAAGCCTCCCCTGGCCAGGCCTTTCATTGGCCCTTCTTCACTGCGTCCTCAAGAGCACTTGCTTGGCCAGAAATATGTCCTTGAACCGTGGGGATGCTTCTTTCTTGCCCAGAGCTAGATAGGTTTGTGCATGTGTGCGTGTGCAGAAATGAGCCTACTACAAAAAAGCAACACTCGCATTTCTTGCTCTCCCCAATTATTCCTCTGGTTTTGCCCACCACTGCCAATTGGTCCTCAGAAGGTTGCTCATGAGGGAATGCGGCCCTTGGGCTGAAAAGGGTTCCCTACTCCTGAGTTAGTCTTTCTCCCACTTTTATTAGGAAAAGGGGCTGCAATGCATTTGCACGTGATTGCTAAAGGGTGTCTAAGGAGAAGCAACACTACCAGTTAGGAGGCGGCGGCAGTAAGGCCTCAGCTCCCAGTCCTGCGAGGGGCAGAATTAGGTGGAGCGTGGCCTTGAGCACTCTCTGCTGGCTCTTCTTCAGGGCAACGATCGTGCCCAGGCCCATCCCTGGGCTACAATCACAAATACCACCAAAGAGCATGGGTGCCTGGCATCCAGCCTGCCCTCCCCCACCAGAAAGTGACAGCAACCTTGCTGCTTGCTCTACCCACCTCTTGGCAGATGGAGAAGCTGCAGCCAGAGCCCTTAATGGCAGCCTCCACCCTCCAGCAGACCCACCTCTTGGCAGCTAAAGCTAAATGGAGAAGGCAGGAATTCATGAGCCGGGTTTATTCACTTAACTGGTGCTTCCTTGTGCTCAACAGCATAGCCTAGCAGAGGAAGACCAAAGACTCTGTCACCTTCCTTCTTCCCCCAGCATCTGGGGCATTGGAGCTGTATAAAAGGCTTCTGCATGGGCTACTTCTCCCTGAATGACTGGGTGCTGCTGGGCTATGTAATTGATTTTACACTTTGTACACAAATAGGAGGAGGTGATAGCTTGTCTGACCCGACGGGACTTGCAGCAACCTGCAAAGAGAACTCTGTTCACTCCTCTCTCTGGCCAGGTAAACTCCAAAGGAGAAGCTACTTTTGGCTCAGGCTGCAGAACATGCTTCTCGCAAGCAGTTGCTTCTGGGTGACTGCCTGCCTGCCCCACTCTGAACATAGGAGGGATTTCAACTGGGCCAAACCATCTCCCAGAGTCACTGCTTAGGAAAAAAATGAAGTGCGGAACACACAATAAAAAGGCGGCAAGACATGGCAAAGTCCACTCTCCCTGCTTGGCCTCCAGAGATGTATCAGCTGCTGCGTACATCTCAATCTGCCAAAGGAAGGTGTTAAGACAGCACTGCAGCACTTTGAGGAGGAACACGCTACAAGGCGGGCAGTTTGAGGGACTTAATCCCAGCCACGTGGTCCAACTGCCACTATGGATCCATCAAGCATTATGACTGCCCAAGGAAAGCCAAACACTGCATCCATGTGGCAAGTGAAAGCCGTTTGGGGGAATTTGCACTATCTAGGAGCCAAAAGCCTAGCACCAACCTTCTTCAGCCTATTAAGAGATCTGATAAGCCAAACTGGAAATGCTGCAAAATTGACTCTGCTCTCCAGATCACTGGCAAAGGCTGCAGCTGCTTCTGCAGCCCAGTTGGAGGCCCTGCCCTGCTTCCCCCATCCTCGTGTCAAGCTAACCTCCTGGGGAAACAGATTTTGCTTGCTGCACCCCAGCTCCACCCACAATAATTTCTCTCCTGTTTGGGTTGATTGGATAAGGGCAAACACAGCACACAACAGAAAGGTAAACTCTTCCCCTGGGATTATTTTGCTAATCCGCCAACAGCGTTGCAGAAGACTCTCTTTGCTTTCTGAGTGATCTCTCCAGACCAAGTGGGGGGGGGCAGGGAAGATGAGAGGGACACACTAGATGGTTCAAGATGATCAACCCTCCCCCCAAGGAAGAATAGCCACCCATCACAACAGGAACAGTTGGCAGCTTGTGCAACAGGGATGCAATTGAGTGCTTTCGTTTATAAGCAACAAACATTTTGCCTTTCAAGTGAAGACCAAAGGTGTGCAGTTAGAAAGGCAGGTAAAGCCCCAGTCAGGCACCAGAGAGGAGCTGAGTAGGACTTGCCACAACAAGGGACTTGGGCTGCAGCCCCCAACTCTGCCTCCCTACCTGCCACACACACCATGGCTGACAGAAGCAGAGGATTCTGCATTGCATATCCATTCCGAAATGAATCACTGATTCAGCTCACAGAATCCAGCCCTTTTTTGTGCAGAAAACGCAACCTTCCCTCTGCAGCCTTGCAGTTTCAACTGCTTCACTGTGCACAGCTCTAGAGGAGTTAAGATCAGGGTAGGGAAGCTACTGAGGCAGCGGGAAAACAAACTCCCCCAGCAGCCAGCACAGCCAGTGGTCAGGGATGATGGGAGCACCAGCCCACCAGCACTAGGAGGAACGTCACAGCCTCTCTCTAACCCTGAGCTTAAAGGAGCCATCCTGACTGCCCTCCGTTGCTCTTGCAGTGCTCTCCAACCCTGAAGGCATCAGCGCCTTCTTACAGTCAGCATTACAGGGCTGTCATCCACTGGAAAGATCTGGAGCAAGTAAGGCCCATGCCGTGAGAGTGTCAGGGACAAGCTTCACTTAGAGGCTCTGAATCAAGATGGCTTTTTGTACCCCCAGGGAAAACCCAAGCAGCCTGGAGTCTGCAGAGTGTCTGGCTGCTTTGCAAGGAAGTCTTTTATTGGAACCGGAGTGTCTTGGCTGCTTTCTCGAGGCAGTGTGGAAAGCTGCCCATGTACAACCCAGGCTCAAGAGCTGACAGGAAGTGACTTGCCCAGGTGGTAGCAGCTGATGCCAAACAGAAAATGTCAAGGGAAGGAAGAATCTGCCATGCAGGTAGGCTCTACAAGCTGCAACCTGCCTACTTTCAAAGCACTTGACCTTAACCATGAAGCAGCAAAGGAGGGCTGTTTCCACAAGAAAGCATTTGTGGAAACCTAGCTCTGGACATCTGCCTCTTTCCATCTCCCCTGCACTCAAACACTGCATATCTTTGCTTTTGGGACAATCAGTGAGCTGGTTTTCCAAGCCCTCCTTGCTCATGGCTTGGCTAGGCTACAACTCGCCATTGCCCCCACCCTAATATGGCCCTGGTGGCTGGGGCTGCTAGTCCAACAACACCTGGAGGGTACCAGGCTGAAAAAGGCTGCTACACACACCAATTAAGAACCAATTCTGCGGAGTCCAAGCATTAAGCCGCAGTAAGGTAATATATAAATGTAACAAATGAACAAATCGCTTTTATGCTAAATATTGTTTTATTCTCTTCTTGGATTCTTTGGACAGCTATGAATGCCCTCCTGGACTAAAGAGTGTGGGATGAAGCACATGCTCAGTTAGGTATGGGAAGTCTTCAGGCTTGCGGGATCTATTTTGGATTTTGCAAGGATCCCAAGGCTCACCAGTGACAGCCAGGTGTAAAACAGTGGCAGCAATGGATGGGATGGGGGGAGGGGAGAAAGACATAGTCAGGAAAAGGGGGGCCCACTGGGGCTATACCCATGCTTTGCTTTTTGCTATCTGTACCAGAGCTCAGCTCACAGCCCTTTCAGGCACAAAAACAACAACCCATTCCTGCTTTCCCTTCCCACCACTACCAACTTTTCAGCCTCTCTTTGTTTTAACAGCCTAGTTTACAGGAGGAAAAGCCTTTTTGCTGCTGTTTCTTATCCCCCTTTTTTAACATTTGCCACTCCACTTCAAGTCATCCAGAGATCCTGGCCCTCCTGCTGCCTTCTCTGTCTCCAAATAAAAACAAGAACCTTCCGGTGAGAGACTGGGGAAGGAGGCGAAAGAGCAACAGCAGCCTTGCAAGGGCGGAGGTGGCGGGATGGGGGGGGAGGACATTATCTGTCTGCCTGGGTCTGCCCTGAGCAGGGCTTTCTTTGCCGCTTGGAAGAGAACCTTCCGTCAGTCAGCGGGCCGTTGCCTAGCGCTGCAGAAAAGGGTGCAAAGGCAATCTGGAAGGCAGCCAGGCCCCAGACCGCAAGCGGAGCAGGGAGGGGGAAGCGGCACAGCGTGGAGGTCCCTGGCAAGCCGCCCAAAGGCCAGGAGTTTCCTGCAAAGGGCACTTGCAATTAGTTGGGTGAATGAATCAGGAGCCTGCAGTCTCCTCTTTGCGGCCTGCCTTGCCCTCCCCTTCCCCCTCCGCTGCTGCAAGAGCTGCCCCAGCCAGCTGAAACTCAACACCCAGCAAAGGAACGTGAGGATGAAGGACACTTCCTCTATGGCCTGCCTCTCTCTCTCTCTCTCTCTCTGTGTGTGTGTGTGTGTGTGTGTGTGTGTGTGTGAGAGAGAGAGAGAGAGAGAGAGAGAGAGAGAGAGAGAGAGACTCCAGTCCAACTTTCATCTCCCCTCCGTGGAAGGAAGCCAGCGTGCGGATTAGATTTGCATCCTGTCTACGCCCAAAGCAAACATATCCTGAACTTCCAGCAGGGACAGGTCGGGACAGCTTGCAATAAATAATACGACTGGCCTCTTGAGCTCAGGACCCCTCCAGGCCTCACAGCTCTGTGCCCCCCTCCTACCACCACAAAAGCAACCAGCAAGAGGCATCCAGGCAACCCGCAAGAAGGGCACGATGGCACTTGCCAGTCAGAGGCATGCCCCCTTTGAACAGCGAGGGGTCCTCTCCAGGCAAATAGCCACTGACTGAGCCATCTGCCCAGTGAAGTCATTGCAGACTTTCGCTACAAATGAGGAACGGAGCTGGCTGCCCTCCCCCTCAGTCCCCTTCTGTGGTGGGGCCTCCTAGACTGTGAAGCTTTCCCAGTTATCGCTAGCCCTCCTGCCTGTCCCCAGTGGGGACAGGATCGCTGGACAGCGAAGGGGTGCAGCTTTCCTCCTGCCACTGTGGCACTAAGGAGAAGCTGCGTCAGTCCAAGTTCTTCTTCTTGGCCACATAGGGGCGTCTCCTCTATGGAAATCTGGCAGCCCAACCTGCAGGCCCCCACCCTGTCCCTTGACTCCTACGCATAGCCCTCCTTGCTTGTAAAACAGAAACCAGAATAATCAACATTTCTGGAAATCTGCATAATCCATCCCGAGCAGCACAGCACACTTGTTTTTCTTGGCAAAAAGAGCAGCAAGCACTCAGCCTTGCTCATTATTCTCAGGGTATAGCTGTGGCGCTGAGCAGTGTGGGATATTAGGAAAACCAGGCCTGGGAAGTCATGAGCGTCTGGGTCTCCCTCCAACTCATGCCACTGGCTCCCCGTGAAACCAAAACGAAAAGGAAAAACAAAATTTCAGCACCACCATTGCAATTTGAGACTCCTCCGCCCCTCCTCCTCCTCCTCCTCTTTCATCTCGGCTCACCTGTTCTCCAGATCCGGCATGCACAGGTTCCTCGCAGCGTAGCACATCTTCAAAGGGATCACCTTACGGTCCTTGGCAGCGCCATGGTGCTTTGGGGAGCCAGAATCCTCGCTGCCGCTAAGGCTGGGCGACTGCGGAGCTACCCCATCCCAAGGCAAATCCGACACCAGCGACGGCTTCTTGATATAAGGGCTGGCTTCCCGCATATACTTCACTAGGAGCAAACAAACAAAAAAGATCCAAAGGCAAAGTGAGCTGGCTTCTATGGAGAGCGGAGGAGTCTCTACAGCAGCAATGTTGAGGGTTGCTCAAGAACCTGAGCATCATCCATAAAATGCACCAGTGGGGCAAGGAGGGAGAAACAGCAGCCCAGCACCCCACAGTCAGGGTGGTGGGTTAGAATGGGATGCCCTTCTACCACCTGGCCTGTTGATGGGGCTCAGCTCTTGCCTGCTGGCCGGGGCCTTTTCAGCAGCTCATTTCCTTTTACTGTTTTGTCTACAGGCTCCTTGGGAGAAGTGGCAAACACGTTTTCCACAGGAAAAGGTGTCCAGATGGAATAGGATGAGTCACAGGAAAGCTCTCCTTCAACTGCCAACACAGAGGGGATGTGAACAGCTTGTCTCTGGCCCAACAAAGGTCAGAGCTCTCCAAACTCTGAAGGGCTCAGGCAGGCAAAGAGCTGGGAAGCTCAAGCATGGATGAGGACTATCAAAAAGGAGAAACAGGTGGAAGATGCCTCCTGTCTGGAATTATTTATTTCTTAGATTTATTATAACCCCAGCTATCCTGCAAGAAGCTGAGAGTGGCACATACATGGATGGGGCTACCCCACGCCCCCTTTATCCCAGCAACTTATGAGATGGGCTAAGCTGGAGGTGTGTGACTGGCCTAAGGTCGCCCAGTTCCCTCCTCCCATCCACTGTGTTCAGCACTCTGCCCACTACAGCACGCTTGCTTGCACAAGATTCTTAGGCAGAGGAAGGATCTAGCAATATCAGCTAATCAATCTTTTGGTTAAGTTCTCAGATCAGCCATTAGAATACCATCAAACACGTATCATTTTACAGTTTACAGGCAAAAGACTTTATCTAGCAATATCTGAACAGCCAGGAAGTTGCAAGCAACACACAAAGTAGGTGCCCTGGCCAAGGGATTGTTACCCAAGTCAATATTTTATTTTATTTATTTATGTATTATCCCACATTTCCTCCATGAATCTCAAGGTGGCATATGGGGTTCTTCCTCTTCCCATTTTATCTCCTACAACAGGCATAGGCAAACTCCGTCCCTCCAGATGTTTGGGACTACAATTCCCATCATCCCTGACCACTGGTCCTGTTAGCTAGGGATGATGGGAATTGAAGTCCCAAACATCTGGAGGGCTGGAGTTTGCCTATGCCTGCCCTACAACAACCCTATGAGGCAGGTTAGGTCAAGCAACAGCAATTAGCCCAGTGTCACCTAAAGAGTTTCACAGGTGAGTGGGAAGCTGAGCCCTGGTCTCCAAGGTCCCAAGCTCTAATCACTACACAACATTGGCTCTCTAAGAGATTTACTTGGCCCGCATGCGGATCAATCCTGCAACCTTGGCATTATTAGCAGCATGTTCTAACCAACTGAACTAACTGAGCACTAAGAATTTACATGGAACATATTCTCACACTACTGAGAAGTTTCTTGTGCTTTATGTTTAATGCAAAAGTCAATTAGGGCTGTGCAACATTCCTAGGGGAGACCTGCCCACTTCAGGACCCCTCCTAAACCAACAAGCACCAGCCAGATGCAAAAGACTAACACAGCACTTGAATTTCCCTAGAAACAAATCTGAATACCAAATTGTCTGCTGCTTTCCAGAACACCTGGAGTGTCTGAGATGTTCCCTACTTGTGCTAATCATTTCTGAGTATCAGCATTGCCCCCCCATGCAGACTTATACCTGCTTCTTGAAGGTGACAGGTAAGATGGGTTTGTGATAGGTATAAGGACCGCATGCAGTGCTCTCACCAGGGGAGCTGCACGCTGCAGGGATCGAGAGCTCTGCCCTTTTGCTTTCAGGAGCAGATTACAGCAAAAAGGCTTTGGGTTTCTAATCCCTGCTTGCAAGAACGTGCCCTTTCCTCAGTAACAAGGCCAGGATCTCCTAGCCCTAAGAAGCAAAGCTAGAAGCTGCAGCAAGAATCAGCAGGTGTGTGCCAGAGAGACAGCTGATGTTTTTAGACAGGGGTGGCGGCAAAGTCTGGCTTTCTCTACCAAATGCAGACCCAGACCACCCCACTACAAACATGGGCTCAAAATGGTCTCTCTCTCTTTCATGCTATGCATAGTTCTGTCCAGTGAGATTTAGCAGCACGATACGCTGAGGCAACCACTTTCCACTGAGTGGGGGGGGGGGAGTTACAGCTTCCACACCGGAAATTCAAAGTGAAGTTCAACACTGGCCATGAGTCATCTGCTAAGAAGGAAATGCAAAACAGCTGACTGATGGGGCTCTTGCAAACGATCTGCCTGCTTGCCAAAGGAAGGAGGCAGCAGCACAGGGTATCAACTGGGAAAAGCAGAGCCCTTGAGAGGCCGCCATCCTCTCAGCAGTGGGCATCCTACTCAAGGCTGAACCTTGGTCAGCTCTGTAAGGCATCCTCATTCTCCCAACTTGGTGCCCTCCTGGTGTTTTGGACTACAATTCCCATCAGCCCTAGCCAACGTAGCCATAGGATGCTGGGGCATCTTCATGTCAGAGAGCATCTTCTACCAACTGTAGGCAAGAGCAACGGAGAGCAATGCCTGGCCTCTCTTCCACCCACAATTTCCTTCAGTACTGAACCATCCATTCACACTACCGCTGATGTGCTGGAACAAAACCTGTCCAGGCCACCAGGCTATACTGCAAGGGAAGAAGCCATTTTGGTGGAGTTGATTCCAACCATTCATCCCAAAGTCAAAACATGGGCCATTCGCCACAGCCACAAGGCTTTCAGCAGCTGGTTCCCAGAAACCACTAATTCTCTATTACAGTACAATGTGATTACCCTCTCTGGACAAGTTCTCCTTGTATTTGTGCTCTTTTCAACTTAGGAATTTGCCTAATACACTAGGAGGTGGCAAGATTTAGGGTGGTATTCAATTAAGTCCTGCTCAGAGTAGACACACTGAAATTAAGCAGCTTGAATTAGCCATGTCCAGTAACTTCAATGGGTCTATGAGGAGTGTTGGCATGCCACCCCCATCCTCAGCAATGCCACTTGCTCCATTTGGCAGAAATTATTCGGGGCTCCAGCCACTGGAGATTTGGGGAGATGAACCCAGGACGTCCTACCACTGAGCTGCAGCCTGGCTTCTGCCACAAGACTGCATTCCCTTCTGAAACTGCAAGGGATCCACTGTGCCCCTTCCAAGTACACAGGCCAGATCCCTCAACTCACCCACACCATTGTGCATGTGAGGCTGACATGAAGAGCCCCCCCCAATCCCACTTTTTGGATTGCAACTCCCATCAGCCCAGGTCAGCCAGTACAACCTGCTTATGTTCTAGGGCAGCCTTTGCCAAGCTGCTGCCCTCCAGATGTTTTGGGCAGCTGATGCCATCTGCCACAGCCAACAGGTTGGCAAAGACTGCTCTAGAAAGTGGAGCACCCCACCCCACCCATGTCATTCACTCTCTACTCCTGCCCTGTTAGGGCTAGTTAGCTAGTTAAATTTATATCCCGCCCGGAGGCGGTGGAAGACAGGAGTGCCTGGCGTGCTCTGGTCCATGGGGTCACGAAGAGTCGGACACGACTAAACGACTAAACAACAACAACATACCCGGTCTCAGGGCGGTTCAGCTCACATTGCTGGAAGAACAGGAAAGGAAGTGAATGAAGCAGGGTCGACACTCTGGGGCTCTCTTTGCAGTCACTGGAGGATGCCTGATCAAAGATTTATTGGCTAAATTTCTCCAAGTAACAAGGAGCAGCAGAGAAAACAAAAGCTTCTTTCCAAGGCCAGAGGATGGACAGCAGAAAAACAATCCTCAGGCAGGCAGGCAGGCATTTAGCTCTCACAAATTAGTCAATATTCACTTTAATATATGAGAGCTTGTTGCTGTCTTTCGTGGCTTTTCTGGAAAGGAAATCTCTCCCCTATCTCCATGATGGCTAGAGGGACCCTGGAATGGGCCCCGCACAGGAATAGAGGTCCACACACCACACCCTCTTTGCAAAAACAATGTCATCAAATCAGCCTCCCCCAATTGGTGCCCTCCAGAAGATTTGGATGACAACTCCCATCAGCCCCATTTAGCACAGCCTGGCTGTGCTGCCTGGGCTGATGGGAGTTGTAGTCCATAACATTAGAAGGGTGCCAGATTGGGGGAGATTGCATTAAATGATAAAAGGGGATCACAACACAATGAAAAAGAAGGACCAGCAGCACCAGTTCCATACAAAATAAAAAGAGAAGCTCACAAGGGGATCCTGTGAAAAGTAGCTGTTATTTTGAAAAGGACTCCAGATTGCTATAATATTGTTATGCCGAATGCATTTTTGAATGTATCAACTTTTCATTAGAAGCATCTAAAAAAACCTGCTAAAAATAATTCAGATGTGCACAAAAATGCATTATCTTAAGACTGTATGCGAGCATATTCCGCCAATACATTTTGATGTATAAGAAGAGTGCCTTTGGGACATATTTAACGCACAATATATTAAATAGTATTGGAAGAAAACTCTCCAAACCCCACTATTCCATGAATTTTTATGGTGATAAATTTAACAAGAAGACTCTTCCGCTCCATAAACGGAATCCTCTGAACAAACAAATATGCAATAGACACTTTTAATTATCAATAAAAAATAAATTATTTTGGGGCAAGCAAAGGTTCTATTAAAAATTTCCTTAGTAAAGAAAAAGACCTGCTTTACTCAGTCACCTTTTCCCTCCCAAGTCCATACGGACACACAGGTAACATAAGCAGGGAAGAGGTTGTTTCATTCAAGCAGAGGAAAGCAGCAGGTAGAATGCACAGACCATCGGAGGGAAAGAGGCAGAGCCAAGGCGGGCCTGAGTTGACCTATGGCCAGTCACTGAGATGCTGCTGCCAGCACAGGAAGCTGCCCAAACTGGCTGGGTAGCACCTTGGCACCCCACATTCTGCCCCTCCCTCCACATCAAACAACTTTTTTGGTCGGCCTCCGGTACAAATCCAGCAAAAGGAAATGCCACCTTCATTTT